AGTGTCCTATGCTAAAAAAAAGGCTGAATATTATTATTTATTCATGAATTAATTTGTTAACATGTAATTCTATGGAAAATGTTCCAAAATGGTCGCTTTTTAGATGAAATTGCATTATGTTTTCTTGGAAACAAGTCCTTTTTTCTCCATGAAAACTTTAAATATGAATGACGTGCATGTATGTGAATCATCACACAACAATTTATGAATGATTTACTGTAATCAATTTTTTTCATGTTTACCGGTAAATGGTATTGAACCATATTATTCACTGACAACAACAACAACAATCTTACATATATGGTAACCCTGACTAGACTAGACTCTAGACCAAGAAAATATGATATGCTTGTTTAGTTGTATGCTTTATTTTGTGCACAAAGACTGCACATGTGTATGGGTTCTAACATCAACTGACATGCCATATCAGTAATATTTAAATCTGACCTTACTTAAATTACTATTGATATCTGCATTCGCACCAAACTTACTGTCATACAATGGCTCTCAAAGTAAGGGCACACTATCTACATATATTGGTGAATTATTACATTCTTATTGGGTGGAGTATATAATCAAAGAAACACAATACAATACACAATCCTACAGCTAGTAGACTGTTTTGACAGTTAAAACAAAATGATTAAATTACTCTTTTTCATATTTTGTTTGAATTTTTTGCATTTGAATCATCATCCTTAAAATGTATTGGCCAATTTTAGCAATATATTTATTAGGTATTAGTAATATGTAGTGGTATAATGATAATGGTAGTCACGGCCTTGGACCTCAAGTATAGTTGTGTTATTAATTATTGAAATGACTGATTTAATTTCACAAATTTGATGTAATCCTGTAAAATATACAAAACGTTATGGATTAATTATAATTAGGACACTGGTATATTATACATTATTGGAGGGGGTGTTAAAATTCTCTATTTTTGGCAAATGCATGTAATTATGTCATTTTTGGTAAAAATTTATATTTTCGAGCACATATGACCAACTTGAATTGTATGAACTATTTGTTTGATGAAGTTATATTGACATGTGTTAACCAAACTTTTTTGTGGGTTTACCACTTTTGTCTTATGGGTGTGTGTTGCTTAACTTGGCTACCAGAATAATTGTAGGACAGTTTAGCTATTATGATCATCCGGTCTAATGTTTGCAATGAGGCATTGTATTGTCTGTTCAATTTGACATCACTTAGTGTGTTGGCATTTCTGTGAAAAAAAAACCATCTCATGCCTACCTTGTTTTGTACTCTTTCACTAGTATGTATTAAGTGTTGCCATTGAATTCACACTGTGTCTGGTCTTGGGGCGAGTGTGGTGCAAGTTTTTAGCTTCATAGATTCAGGCTCTAACCCATTTTATCTAACTTAGACAAATATTTTAAAAAAAAATAATGACAGTAATTGGTATGACACAATAAACTAGAAGGACTGCTCTAGCTGGCTTTCTTGTTATTAGTTTCTCCATTTACTTACACTACCTGTTCTCAGAGAGCTGCTATGAATGCAGAAGTGTAACAATACTTCTTAAAGGTGACGTGCACCTGGGGGTGGGGGGTGATACCAGTATTTTTACAAGTGTTGACTGGCTGGTTGCTGCAATATAAGTGGGACCAGTACACTACTTGTTTTTATGTGCATACTGTTGGAACACACAGAAAATGATGATATATTTCATGCATAATGTGACAATAAAGTACCATATCAGCTAGTAATATTTCACACTAAACATCACAACTGTAAGTGATATGCACCATGGTGTTATTAAACACAACATTTTTTTTTCCAGTTCCTGCAACAATAGTTGAGATACCAGATTCACAAGAAATTGAGATATCTAGTGCTCCAGTTTTTACATGTAGTGGACATGGTAAACCATTGCCAGAAGTGACATGGCAGACAATTAACGGAGGCCCGATTTCTGAGTCTGATACTGAGATTATAGAGGATGGTTATTTTATGAATAGTACACTGACATTCAACAGTGTAGATAGAAATGACAATGGTATATATCAATGTGTGGTGAATAATGGATATGATGATGTGAGTGAAAACTTTACTCTCACTGTCTTAGGTATGCATTTTACAAGTTTATCAATAAATAAGTAAAAAATGTATTTAAATCTCTATAGGACCATTTTTGTGAGTGCATGTGAACAATATCATAATTATGGGATAGATTTGAATCAGTGATCAGACACGATTGATTTTGTATATAATAGTAATTTTATTTTTTCATTATTTTATATAGAGGTACCAGATCAAGTGATAATTATAACTTTTATAGCCACAAATGCTGAGACAATTGAATTGAAATGGGAAGTGACTTATGATGGTAATAGTGACATCATACAATGTGGTGTAGAATATATGGAATTTAATGATCAACAACAACCAGTGACTGACTGGATGACTTACATAACTGTTACTGAAATTCGGACACAGTACATGATT